CCTCTCTGGAGGGTCACCTGGGCTCTGTGGCCATCTTCTGTGAGGCTCTACAGCAAGCCCAGGTCAAGGCACTGTTCTGTGCAGGTATCTCAGGGTGGGTGGGACACAGGGGACATCTACAGGGGTACTGGTGGCAATGGAGGTCTCCTCCACCATGACCTAGCTCACCCCAGTCCTCTTTCCCCAGGACCAAATGTCACATCACCATTTACACTGGAAGGTGACCTGATCGAGCTCAACAGCAAGCTCTTGCTCTACTACACCCCACAGGTGAGCAGAGACACCACCCTGGGGGCAGGGATGATGCTGGTAGACGCTCCTTCTTTAAGGAACATCTCCAGGAGCATGAGGATGCTCCCATGGTGCTCTCTTCTAGGCCTGCAGGAACAACATCTGCCTAGACCTCTCTCCCAGCCACGGCTTAGATGGGAGGCTGACAGGGCACAAGGTGGTCAACTGGGACATCAAGGTAGGCTGGGTGCAGGGTGACCCATCCACTCCATGACATGGGGGCAGGTGGGTCCCTCCTTGGGTATGAAGCCAGGGCAGGACCCTCACAGATGTCTCCCCTGGACCCTACAGGGACTTGTGTGCCCCACAGCTCCTCAGCGTCTATTGAGCTGCCACCCTCCTGGGCACCATGGGTGGTGCAGGGGAACAGCTTTAGGGAACTTTAGGAACTTTAAGGAACTTTAGGGGACCTCAGGTGCAACTTGCTCTTCTATGGTGCTGTCACCATGCAGCACCCAACAAAGCCTCTCACCTTCTTCCATCAGGACGTGGTCAACTGCGTGGGTGGGATGGGTGTGCTGCTGCCCCTGCTCGAGCAAGTGGTGTCCAAGAAGGAGGAGCCTGAGGATGAGCAGGAGACCAATGATTTGGTGGGGCCAGAGCTGACGTCCTCCAGGAACGCCCAGGGCATGCTCATCCCACTGGGAAAGTCCTCAGGTGAGGGGCTCAGAAGATTTGAAGCAAGAGTCCTCCTGCTCAGGTGGCTGGAGGTAACCACAGTGCCATGGAGGTGTTCCTGGACCAGACACATCCTACCACGGGCAGGAGAGGTCTTGCCCGAGGCACCAGGAGCTACAGAGTAATGGAGGAACCACTTTTAACATTGTTATGACACAATTAGTCATGAACAAGCAGGTCTGGGAAGGTGAGAGTGGCCAGCCACCTTCAGGTTGCCTTTGCATGGAGTCTAGGGATGTTTGCAGCTGGACCAGGGAAGTGATTGTTCCTCTGTACTCAGCACTAGTGAAGTCACACCTTGAGTCATGTGTCCAGTTCTGGACCCCTCCCTGCAAGCAGGACATTGAGGTACTGGAACGTGTCCAGAGAAGGGCAGTGAAGCTGGTAAAGGGTCTAAACCACAAATCCTATGAGGAGAGGCTGAGGGAACTGGGGGGGTTTAGCTTGAAAAAGAGGAGGCTCAGGGGGGACGTTATTGCTGTTTACAACTACCCGACAGGAGATTGTGTCCAGGTGGGGGTCAGTCTATTCTCCCAAGCAACTAGTGACCAGGATGAGAGGACATAGTCTCAAGCTGCACCAGGGGAGGTTTGGGTTGGACATCAAGAAGAATTTCTTCACAGAAAGAGTGGTTAGACGCTGGAATGTGCTGGCCAGGGAGGTGGTGGAGTCATCATCCCTGGAGGTGTTTAAGGAGGGACTTAGTGCCATGGTCTAGTTGGCATGGTAGTGTTAGGTCATAGTTTGCTTAGGGCAACTAAGATTTCCATCCCCATAAATGTTGGAGAAATAGGAGACCAGGCTGGAGAGAAAATTTGATGGTGGGATCTCCAAGGTGTTTGGGTGGGCACAGGACTCATGGCTACCGGTGGGGCTCTGCCCTGTGCCTTGCAGAGAGCAGGCTGGAGAGGAACAGCGTGGCTGCCTTCCTGCTGCTGGTGAAGAACTTCATCCAGAACCACCCAGTAAACCAGGAGAGCCTGGTGCAGTGCTACGGGCCAGCCATCATCGGGGCACTGCTGCAGAAGGTGTGATGGGCTCCCAAAAGCTCCATCCCCGAGTCCCTGAGGACATTTCCCAAGGTGGTGCTGGAGCTGCAAGTCTCTTTCACCCATGGCAGGTCTCTGGTGCACTGCTGGACATGAGCACTCTGATGGCCTCACAGATCCTCATGGAGCAGGTGGCCTCTGAGGGCAGCGGTCTCCTGCTGCACCTCCTCTACCAACATCTCCTCTTTGACTTCCGAATCTGGAGCAACAGCGACTTCGCCGTGCGCTTAGGTGAGACCTGGGAGGGATTGGGGGAGTCCTCCATCCCAATCAGCCTCTGTGGCTCCTCACACCTTCTCCCTGCAGGTCATATCCAGTATCTGGCCAATGTGGTCAAGGATCACAAGCAGCGTGTCCGCAAGAAGTATGGAGTGCAGTACATCCTCGACTCCATCCGGACGTACTACGGGTGAGCTGCCACACATAGATGGGACTCCTGAACACTGATGTGGTGGTGGTAGTGGTGGTGGTGGGCTTCACCCCTCAGAGCTGTGGTTTGGCCTAGACACCATTTTCTTGGGGTAAAATCCCTCCTCCTGGTGTGGGAGCATAGTGATGGGTGTAGGACCTTCCACTTCCCATGGCCATGCCTCATCCTCAAGCCTGTCCCCAGCTCCCAAATCCATCCCCAGCATCTCTCCAGCAGCCACCAAGAGCACAGTGACTTCTGCAAGGAGCTAATGCCCTGTTCTTGTCTGACTCAATGTGTTTCTGCATGTCCATGGTGTGCTCATACCCTGTAGAGACCCAAAAGTATAAGGTAAATATTAACCAGTGGTCCAGAAGATCTCTAGACGTCCACAACAGGCTGCCCAGAGCTCCTCAGGCTTTATGGTGGGATTTGGGATCATGCTGACAATGGGTGACAAGGTACTGGCTGTACATATCCCCATGTGTGTCTGTCCATCAGCACCTCCAGGGAGAAGACCACAGCCACCGATGATATCAAGACAGTGCAGACATCCCTCTTCAGCTTGGTGAAGGATTTCTTCTGCAGGAGCTTCTCTGGGGAGGAGATGCAGAGCTTACTGAACTACCTGACTGGGGTGCAGGATGAGCAGCAGGTATGTCACCAAAGCCACCCTGCTCCCCAAAGACCTTAGCATGCCATGAGCTGGGCTGGTACTCAGCAGCAGGTGGGGAGAAGTTGCTGAGGTACTGGTGGGGCACTTGGAGGGTGGTGGACAACCAGCCCCATGTCCTGCAGGTCTGCGGAGCACTGGAGGTGATCCACAGCCTGCTGAAGGGCTCACCTGCCCAGGAACAGCTCTTCACCTTCCTCTTTGAGCCAGGCCATGTTGAGGTCTTCTTCTCACTGCTGGTGCAGAAGAAGTTCTCAGATGAAGTGCGAGAGAGGGTCTTCAAGGTAAGGCAGGTCCCCAGCACTGACCTCTTGTCATCCCTGGCGGCCAGGTGCTTTGTCCCAGCATGGTGGCCACCTTGTTGTCTCTCACCAGGTCCTCTACAAGATGCTGAAGTATGAGAAGGTCCCTGAGCGCAGCAAGAACCGCCTGAAGCTGAAGGACATTGGGTACCATGGGCTCATCTCCTACCTCAATGACATCCCCAGCTCCATGCTGCTCTTCCGTTGCCTCTCGGAGCAGGTCCTTGGAGCAGGTACCATGTGTCCTGTTGAAACTAGACTGGTCTTAGTCACCCATCCCAAACACATGCCTTTTGGTCATCACTGGTAGCTTCCCATGAGGCTTAGTTTTTGACTGGGGTCTTTGGGGGCCAGCATGAGGTGTCCCACCACTGTCCTGTCTTTCCTTGTCCATAGACCCTCCCAACTACAAGGACCTGGTGTCTGTGGTCTACCTGTCCCACCGGGCTGAGCTGGCTGTCCGGCTCGATATCTGCCGCAAGGTGAGCAGTGCCGTGGGTGCAAGGGGAGGTGGCAGAGTTGTCACTCCAAGGGCTGAGCTCCTTGGGCACCCAGCCATGCCCAAACATGGGGGCCTTGAGGAAGGTGCTAACATGTACATGGATGTGTCATGGAGGTGGTGAAGCCTCAGCACCACATGATGGTGATGGAGGATCTGGGGCGCTCAAAACCAAGCATCTTACTCCTTGGATGGGTCAACCCATCAGGAGCTGGGGCAGCATCATAAGATCTCCTCCCTTTTCCTTCTCCTGCAGCTTTTCCACCTGATCTATGCACAGCAGGACATGGTGAAGCAGCTGGCAAGGTTGGCTGGTTGGCAGGACACGCTCACCAAGCTCTACGTCAAAGAGTCCTATGAGTCCCGTCAGCACAGCCTGAGCAATGTGGGCAATGGGGCCTGCATGGAGCTCATCCACCTTTCCAGCCCCTCCAGCAAGGAGGGGATGAGTTCACCACCAGCTGAGCTCCAGGAGCTGGATGTCTTCCTCCCTATGGGGTATGAGGCCTCGGACCAGGAACTTTCTGAGGGCTTCTCTGACCACTCCATCTCCCCAACTGGCCGCACCAAGTCCTTCCACTCCTACAACTTCAAGTCTTTTG